GTATCTTGAGAAGGACGACATTAAAAAAGCACGCAAAAAATCGTATTATTTTTATTTAATTAAAACGCTTTTATAAAATAATTTTTTTTTTCACGTAACGTATTGAATTAAGTATTAGCTACTTATCAAACAAGTTCCTACGTGATTTGATTAATAATAGCTTTCAAAATCGCGTATCTCGAGAAAGGTGACGCCGCGACAATAAAAAACTTAACGTTAAGTATATTATCTATTATTTAAATAGAAAATAATAAGCTTTAAATATTTTTTCTTTGATTATTATTGCTTTATTAAATAAGAAAAAAATCTTAAAAAGTTTTCGTTTTTTAAAGAATATCACGTGATAGTATAAAGACGCTAAATAATTCTTAAAGTCGAAAATATTTTTTCGAAAAAAAAATTAAATTAAGAAGAAAAAAGGTCACGGGATTATGCTAGCGCCTCGGCGTGACTTTAAATAGTATTAAAAGCGTCGCCGCGATGCGAGGCGATTTTTTTTAAATTTTTTACGCGCAAAGTAAAATCATCTCGGGAAGGGCGAACGCAAGTTCGCCCTTCCCGAAGTGCGTGTACTGTTAGGTCACCGTTAGTGATAATAAAACTTTACCTTTTCTCTTTCCAAGCAATCGAGTTTGAAGATAAACCTATTAGTTAGTTAGTGCACGTGACTCCTCTTAATCGTATAGAAGGAGTCAGCTCCCTTGAATCCCAGGGAACAGACAGAATTCAAATACTATTACAACCGAGTGAATTGCAATTGCAAGAACTTTGACGACTTCACGACTTTACGAATATATTTCCCGATCGCTAGAAGCAATCCAACATCTTGTATTATAATAACAAGAGGAATGATAAAATGAAATCGGCTCAGGATATTGCATTTCGTAATTTTCTATTTGTACAAGGATATTACTTCGCGCCCGAAGTATATGAAAAACATCGTCGGATACGACTTAATTACAGTAGGAACCGCAAGCACTTCATGCCATGATTTCGGCTGAAACGAAACTATGAATCTCAAAGACCAAGAGAACCATAAAAATACCCAGCAATATCCTAATCGCCGGATCGAGACTATTCAGATTAGTGAAATTTCATCGTTGAAGCAAGAGACTAACCGCTATCCTTTAACCCAAATCGCTTTCCAGCTTCGATGATCCCATCTTCGAACATAATACCTACTGGCTGCACCATAAAGAACATGGCCTGCCAATAACCACCATCTGCGAACATGCTCACAGTAGCACCGGCGTGATGTATGAGAGCACTCATCGCAAAGCCAATCCAGATCTGGGAATATCTGCTGCCAAAAGTGCCTTTGCGCAAACCACAGGCTTCTTTCGTAATTCGCCCAGCTTCGGCACATGGTCGTCGCATCATTCTGATTGGTGTTTTTGTTAGACACTCATATAAAACTTTTCAGGAAGGGGGATTGGCTTACTGATGCCAACACTTTCCCCACATCCTGCGAATACTCCACGCGTCTTGGTGAAAAGATCCAAACATGGGCGGCCAATCAACAGGATCGAAAATATGGACCAGGACAGTAACGGCACCTAATGAGTACAACAGAGATATGGTACAGTAGAGTTTAAAAGCCGCGGCCCAGGAGATAAAGACCTGCTTGGTCATAGGCATCTCAAAGAAAGGTGTAATCTCCAGAGCATACGCGTCTCGGAGCATCAATTGAACCGCATCGAGACCAAGATATGCTGCCAATCCAGATATCAGATTGTACTTTATGAAGCTTGACCTAGGGCAATCCTCTCCTACCGGTGGGGGAAGACAGTCCGGTTCGATGTTCCAGCCCACTCCTCTGCTATATGTTTAATACATCTTCAAAAGCTATAGAGACAACGGGTGGTACAGACCTTTGGTTGTTCCAGAGGAAGAAGAACCACTTCAGCCGTCCTAAAGCATCATTTGGAGCTCGTCCATCAGCTCGGCCAGTGGCGGAACCCGCTTTCTTCCAGAAGTCCCTCTCTGGCCGGTGCAGTACCACCAGGTCTATCCATCTCAAGACGAGAATGCTTGTTGAGACTCCGAGCAAGTATGCATCCCGAGATTGCTCGGCAGTCCAGCCTAGCATGTACAGATAGATGCCGGATATGATAGCTCCAGAACTGACACGAAGAAACCCAGGTGGAAGAGCAATGGACAGAATGCAGGCGGCCTGGAATGTCAGCAAATCGCTTCAAAATGATATGAAGCCTTACCGTGAGTAAGCCATGGATCCATCCCGGCGGAGGGTGACGATCTTGGAAAAGAGACATGAGGGCACCTCTTGTCACTTTTTCAAGGAAAAAAAGTCGGTGGAAGGTGAAGGACGAGGAGGATGTGCATATTTAGTTGGTAGGAAGTGAATTACTCACGCTACTGTTAGCACGACGGTAGCAATGAAAATGAAGCCATCGGTAAGACACTTGATTCGACAGTTCTTATCTCGCAGCTGATTGGTCCTTGAAAACACCCTCGACCATCCTGTTTCTATCCCCAGTCAAAATCACGTGTTCTGGCAACGGTCTACACTTGTTCAGATATCCTCTTTCAGACGATTTTTGAAGCCGAAAGTTATAGACCAAAGATATGCACATTCCTACTCTCGGCCAGAGGATTACAAATACTCATTATCGAGGAATGATGCGATGGCTCTGTCGCTGGCAACTTCCACTTACTTTTCGATCTTCTCCTCAACCCCTCCGGCCTCGTCGTCGCTTTCATCAAGCATCTCCTACGTCATGAGGCTCGAAAAAGTCGCGAATTCCACTCTTAAAGATATCTTCAGACTTGCGAGTTTCGAGTTCTCGACAGCCTTAAAGAGGTCCCTGGTGGCTGACGAGCCCCGCGCTAGTTTCTGGAATCCTGCAGCAGCTTCAATTCTATCGGTATGAATGCCGTCTCCTTTCTAAAGCTTGATTTTTTGTGTATATTCAAGGTCGAAGTTTCTGTTAATAACGATGTTCTGGAATCGTGCGAAATGAGGCTCGAATAATCCGCCTTCGATCTCAGCGGGTGCTATAATTGGCCACTCTGTTATCAAACTTCCATTCCTTCTTAGGATCATGCCTCCAAACATCATTATAGATTGCACCGAAACTCAGATCGTCTGTATCACTCAGCTAGAAGATGTCACGGGCTCTATATCCATATTAAGGACGGTCTTTGTGCACCATAACGGTTGCCTCGGCATATATTTGCACATTGGCTCGCAGATGGCGAAGTACCTTGAAGCAATTTATAGACCTTTTTCGTGAGGATGTTGATCTCCTTTGCAGTGTTGTATACAAATTCATCTTTTTCCACACTGTCATCTTCCGAATAGCAGGTAAGCTCGGCCATATCTTTATCGCCGATTTCGGCTTTATCGTCGGACCAACCGTCCTCTCTAGGCACCGTTGGCAAAAAAGACGATGCATTAATGTGGAGTTGAGGCTAAAGACTGGCGATTCTGTTGTTCTTGATGGTACATAGGTAATAAGAAAAATACATTGGAAGCGATTCCACTTTTCATAATGTTCATGCGCTTCGGAAAGCAGATATAAAGTAACTTGCGAACTTTTCTTCCACTCGATGTGGATTATTTGGAGTTGTGAAAATGTATTTAATTCTTATGATATGATTGGCGGCTTAGAAAAGGGGCAATCTTGTCTCGGGATCTCGGACATGGAATACCGAGCATCTTCGCGCTCCGGAAAGCATTCCCGAGACTGCACAGGAAAGTAAACAAGTTCTCGGTTACCAAAATCGCTATGCATCGCTCGTAATGAGATTTCTTAAGTTCCAATTCACTTTTAAATGAAGTTACTTGCTTTTTCTATCCCTAAATTGAACTATATATCCAGGAAATCGATAAGGGCATGGCTCCAGAAGAGATCAGCACTCAGCGCAAAGGTCACGCAAGGAATTTGCGCTAAACACCAAGCGTCTGTTTTAGTATTCCTCATGGCCGAGGTTATTCAAATCATGACGACAACAGCTCTGACGAGTTGTTTATCAAACCCCTTATTTCAACTTCCATGTTGTACCTCGTCCAGCTTCCGATACAGGAAAAAAAACCTCATCTCTACAGCCTCTACATACTACCAACATGCCTTCCAACTCCCTACTCGATGGCGTGTACGTTCTCTTCTCTTTACACAAACCGTTCAATGACTCATGAGATTTACTTTTTAACAGCCAAAACACCAACGGCTTGTTGATGGCAGCCCTCGGACCAATGTTCCTCGCGTTTGTCCCAGTAACGAACTACATCACAGCCCCCAACGGCGTCGTTCAAAAGGCCATGGAGACCCTGCTGGCCACCATCCCCGGCACGGCCTCCATCACGACTGCAAGGACCATCCCCGCCCTCTCCGCCTTTTATATCTTCTGGACATTCGGAGCAACAGGCGCCGCGTCCGTAGCTGGCCTCGCAGCAAGTCGAAAGGAGGGATTGGACAACAGTCGTAAGCCGTCGATCGGTGCCTTGTGGCCCGTCTAGGACCCTGGAGCCTTGAACATATTTACTGACGCAACGCACAGATCCGAGGAAAGATGTCAATAACCTCACTGGCCTCCCTCTTCGACTCCGAAGCGCGCATTACAATCTCCTTGAGATGTTTCCCGTGGGTCCCTGGTCTGACCCCTCCTGACAGAACAACAACTCATAAAATACAATGTAGGGCTTCGCGCTGGCAGCTGCTCTGGCTCATGCAACTGCGCCTGCGAACCAGAATCTGATCAATCTGCTCGGTCTCCACGTGCTGGCCAAGTCTTTTGTCTTTGTGAGTGATGGATACGCTTCCGCTATTTATTCCCTAGTCTATTCTACCAGTTCCGAGTATCGAGAAGCGAGGGAGGCTGATTGATCCGGTAATGACAGTATCCTGCTTATCTCCTCGATATTGCGCCTTTGAGGAGCATTGCCCACATCACGGCTACGTCTAGCGTTATAAATGTAGCCTGGCAGGTGGCTATTGGCGCGATGTAAAAGACGCAAACGAATCGCACGGCGGGACACCTTCGTATGGTACTTTTGAAATATGAAAATCTTGGTACTTGTTATTCTTCCCATATGTTCAACCGAGTGTGTGTGTTCTGTATAGTCTCAGATGCTCAGGCAATTTGACTTCGAATAATGCTTAACATTTAACGAAACTTGCTCTGTCTATATAAACACCGATTTCAATACCTTGAGCCCCTACGCTCTGAAACTCGCATATTCAATTCTGTCATTCATCCTTAATGCGGCTGTCGAGTCCTTGATTCTAGACAATTTTTCTCGATAAATCAACCCGTGTCTCGCGAAAAGGCTCGCAATGCAGTCGGATGACTGTTACGCTGGTAGCGACGCTACTCCGTAAGGCAGGTCACGAGGTCTTGAGTACGCGTATGGGTTACACGTTACCTCGTGACCTCTGGTTCCCGTTTCGGCACGCCTGCCTATAGCCTCGCAGACACTTCTCATCTGGGTATTGGAAGGTCCAGGCCCTATTGTCCAGACATCCTTTCATCCGCGGATGCCGCTCAAGCATATTCGGATGCACGGCTATTATCTCCGATAGCTCTTGGAAAATCTCATAGATAAGGTATGCTAATAAGTCTACTGTTTGCCCAGAACCTTCGACGATCCTCTGGATAGACTCCATCAAAGGCCTCCAGATCTGTCGCGCCAAGGCCCCCATCTTCCAAGTTCGTCCGAATTATCGTGCTCAGTATACCATCGCGACTCGGATAGCTCCTCAGAGTATGACGAATGGAATCAGATGCTTGTTTCTCGGCCAAAGCAGATCCCGCTTACCGAACCCATACAGATCGCACAAGAACTTGAAATAAGTTGAGGCTAATGTAAAGCATATGATGCGATATATTTTCACGTATCTATCGAATTGATTGCAAGGCATCGTATAGTCAGTCATGAACAACGCACGATCTGCTTTTAATCCGTATAAATTCTTCTGGACCACGTCGAGAATTTCCGCCGGTGGTATATTCTCTTTGAGGTCGATGGTCTGGATATATCCGAATATAAACGAGAAAAGCATAGCCGTAAGATAAAGGAGAAACACTGCCACGGAAGTAGGCGGTGGGATCTGGAGGTTTTTATTTGAAGAAATCCCAGTTTAGCCATTGGTAGATGAAAATTCCGCTCAGCCTTATGAATAAAAAAGAAAAAAGGCACGGCAAGCTCGACATTGCTAATATGTCGGTTCCCGAGTAGCAGGACGGCCTCGATGGGGACCAAAGGCCCATGTTTCCTCATGGTGACTTTGTGGCGCAAAATTGCCTTCCTTGATGCTGCGAAAGTGAAGAAAGCTGGGCGAGTTAATTAAGACCATTCGTGGCAGCAAGCTGTGTGCGTCCAGTATGCTAGTTGGCCGCGATGTTAGGGAGAAGACTTGAGACGATGACCGAACAGGAGCAAGCCTCCCTTACTGTCCATATGCGTAATACTTTCTAAGGAGAATCGCAATGCCTTCGGCCCTTCGATTTTCAAACCTCTGATATCATGGCTGGCGTTGATCCTCCTTTTTCCTGTGGGTGGGCAGCCCTTCTAGCTCTTTTCGCGCTTCTCCGCGCGCTCTCAACCACTCCCTGGCCCGTTTTGCGCAATCGAAGCAGCACAGCCCATACTCCCAGGTGACGCTCTCCGGTCCAAACAATTGTCCTAGTAAATCAGGCAACGGTCCCAAAGCACCCAAGGCACGGAAAGTATTCGTAGTGTGACGAGTGCCATTCGCGATTCGATCGAGCTCGTTGGCGAGAATGCCAAGGTCTTCCAGGTATATTGCGAACAGAGTCGCGAGGAACATATAGTCTTGTTTGACCTTACGCCTTTGCCGTAGTATAGTGCGATGGCGGATTAGATGTTCGTAATGACCGTCAAGAAAAGAGATCTGCAGATGTATACCAGGCCATCGATGGCCTGGCCCGATTTCCAGTACGCTTGGCCAGAGAAAATGGCCCACATCGAGAAGGGGAAGAAGGCCAGGGGGACAATGAAGTCCCGGTACTGAATATACACATCCTTAGTCTTCAACATTGGGGCACAGAGCAGAGCCAAGTTACCAGAAAACTGATGACAATCAGAAGCTCTGTTTATCGTGGCAGGCTATGGTTTTATGCGTCCGTAGAGAACTGGATTCGAGAAATTGCTAAATGATCAATACGAAGCTTTCGAGGGCGTGGTTTTAGAAGAGAAGCAAGCAGATGTGGAGGCAGCAGAGATGGAGAAATGGAAAAACGAAAACACAGCGAGCGAGAGACGCCTTAGTAAGCCAAGATGCTCTTCTTTCCACAGGGCGGGATCGACTCGCGAACTCATTTACGCCAACGCCACCTTCCCCCCTTTACCGGACGACCCAGGCCAGCGAGCTTCTCGGATATACCTTTCATTCACTCAGTCAAAAGACGGGACTGGGTGCAAAGGTTGCGCGCCGAAAATCTTGCATTCTTCGTTTTTCAAGATGCTCTTCGGATCATATAGAAACTTCCAAACGGCGCTAAAAGTACAGCAGTTCCCAAACCAGCGTGGATATCTGGCCCTCGTGCCCTCCAGTTCTCAACACACTGAGAACATATAGGCTATATACAGATACATATATATATACAGAACGGAACAAAAAAGAACTCCATCGCTATTGCAGCTCGCTATTTTAGTAAGAAAAGAAGCATCTCCCGAACAACTCATCCCTCTATGCAGATATATATATATACAGAACAGAGCAAGAGAGAATTCCATCGCTATTGCAGCTCGCTATTGCAGCAAGAAAAGAAGCATCTCCCGATCAGCGAACAACTCATCCGGTAAGTGACAGTCAAGGCTTGTGGTAACCGGTCCAGAGCGTGCGCAGTTGATCCTGAGGGTCGTACTTCTTGGCGATAGCGCGGAGCCGCTCTTGATTCTCCGGCCCGTAGCTGGCAATGACCGTCCCGTTCCGGCTCTGGAACTTGCCCGCGTAGTTCATGTACTCGTAGCCAGCGCCGCAGCCGTCAGCTTTCGCCATGGCGTCCAGGTCCGAGACGAACTTTTGCATGCTGGCGTCGAGGAAGTCGTCGTTGGCTGCCAGGCTCCAGCTCGTCGGGAAGGAGACGATGTAGGTAGGGAACTCCTTGGGCCGGAGGCCCGTGGGGTTGCCGCCATTCCTCTGCATGGCCTCGAGGGCCGGGTTGGTAAGGGGCTGAAAGACCATACTCATGTTGAGCATGTCCCCTCGAGCAGTCATCTGCGCTCGGACATCAGCGCCCCAAGTGGTGAAGGCTGCAATGAGCTTGTCCATAAAGGCATCGCTGTCCGCACGATCGGAGATGGAGGTCGAGTACCATGACTCTCGGTTACCGAAGCCGCCGCCAGCGCTGGTAGTGCGGAGGATCGTATCCGAAAGGCCCATGACCTGCGACGTATTCAACAATGCCCCTGGGAGTGCCGGGTCGCCAAAGGAGGCCATGGTATCAAACTCGCCGCCAGGAGCATACGGAGAGCTGAGATTCAGGTGGAAACCGAAGACCATCGTTTTCGGGCTTGCGGTATCAGGGCCAGCAAAGTTTATGCCGAACCTAGTCCCAGGGTTAGTCTGATGCATATCACACAATTTGCAGAACCGACGACTACTTACATCATATGGGCGTCTGGATCCAGTCCCGAGTGCATCATTTCCCGTGCGACCTTGGTCTGTATCACATGTTAGCACTGATCACATTCCATAATCTGATATCTTGATCTCGAGATGCGATCCTGAACCTGATACCTCAACAAGACAGAGGGAAAAGATGCCTTACAAAAGTGTGGAGGACCGAATTGACGGTTTCTATAGTCCAAACTGATAGCCGGCTCCAGATGTCGCCTTGCTCGTACGCCTCGAGGTCGAATCTGGTGACGATGCCGAAACTGGATCCGCCGCCGCCTCGAAGAGCCCAGTAGAGATCCGGGTTTTGGGATGGATTCGCGTCGACAATCTCGCCGGAGACCAGGGCGACCTGGAAGTTCCGGATGTTATCGCACCCCAAGCCGCGCTTGCCTAGCAAGAACGACAGTCCTCCTCCTAAGAGGAATCCCGAAACACCGACCAGAGGGCTGCGGCCGCCGACGACGGCAATACCATGAGGTTCGACCGCCTGAGTGACATTGATCCAGCGATTGCCGGGGCCGATTGCAACCGTGCCAAGATCGTCTGCGATTTCAATGCTGTTCATCATCTCCAAAGAAATAAGCACTCCTCCTTGGATGCTGGATGCAGCATCAAAGCCGCTATGTCCTCCACTTTTCACTGTGAATGGGGTGCTCATGTTGGTCACAAGCACGAGAGCCTTCGCGACGTCTTCAGCGCATGTCGGCAGAACGACGCAGCCAGGCGTCAGGTCCTGTCGGGCAGACCAGTAGGTAGTTGTCTCTTTGAAGATTGACGAGTTTTGGTTTTCCACTTTGCCTGGCAAGGCGGAACTGATTGTCTCGCACTGCGTGTTTGGTTAGAATTATCATCCGCTATATTCTCATCTGAATTACATACTGTTGCTGCTGCGGAGGGGGCTCCATATGCGTATTGTGCGAGGCACGGCAATCCGAGGAACAAGCCCGGAAGGAGAAGTTGGGCAATAGCGGTCGGCATGATCACGGCTGGACAAAAAAAAAAAAAGACAGAGTTAAAAAATGGTGACTTGGAGAGAGATAGGCAATGAAAGGAACGTGTGAGTTGGATCGGGAGCCTCCAACTTTGATACTCTTACCATGACGATCAGACGGTTCGTCTTATAGTCGACGGAATACCCAGACGCAAATGCAGACGCAAAAGCGCATAATCGAGCTGCCAAGACGCCTGTCGGATTCGCGTTCAGAAGGAGAGAGAGAGGTGGGGTATCGTACGGAACATACGTGATACACGCAAGACTGACTTGGCTGACAAGTCAAAGGCGACTTGGCTGACAAGTCAGAGGCGACTTGAGGCGGTAACGTCGGAAGTAGTCGCCTTTTGACATGTTGGAGTGGCGTCCGAACTATAGATATTTCGTTTCAGGGTGCCAACTAGTTGTACAGGGTAGTCACAACTACGACCTATATAAGTAGAAATACCTTGAGGTGGTGGAATAGACGTGCTTCACACCTCAGATTAGGGGAAATCGAGTCGATTCGCCTAGCTACAACATTCACTCATAAACTCAACCATTGTAAAAGAATGAGCGGAAATATTCCACAGATCACAAACTGGAGCTGTCGAGAATCAGTATCGCGCTCGATTGGCTGCGATATGCCACAAAACCCGATTTGGTAGGTAAGGTAAAGTGGTCGACGCATAACCGTACGGGGCAAGAAAGCAATATGCGTATCCGACGCCGTAGAATTAGATTAAACTCTGAGCCGGGCCGAAATCTTAAACAATCGATACAGTACGGTAGAGCATCGTCACCAGGGAAGAATATAGGCAAGGATCCCATGCACGCTGAACTACTGTTGTACTACCTACTACGTAGTCCCGTTCGTAATGGTAAATACAGCAGCAGCACGAGGTCTAGGCCTGCTTAGCTGTAGGCAGAGATAGACGGGCAATCTCAAGAGTTGCTGCTCTCGATCGACTGACAGTTGATCGCGTTAAAGTTGAGAATTATTGACTGTTAGATTTGCGCAATTACTTCGCACTTGATTGCTGTCTCGAATTAAAAGACGATTGTTGCAGATCTTTATATAAATTTACTTGGCGCTAAAAGCCAATTCGCTAAAAAGGAAATGCTTTTCACGGGCCAAGCTGATTGAGATACGTACGGAGTGGAATACAGTTGTCGCGTGTCGGTCATTCACTCATAAATTGTTTACTTTTTAGCATTTCCCACTTTTCTCATACACAATGATGGCGGCCCCGTTAGGATGAGCGGTCACTTGGGCACTTGTAGCATTAATGTGGCGAGATCCCGGATCCAGGGATTTGTGCGGACGCGAATGCGGACGGATCTTCGCTTCAAGATCGTTTTGCGGGAGGCAGCTTCTGGAATAGAGGGAAGGGCGGCCTAAGCGATTATGCATGACTTTAGCAGATCCGACGGAGATATCGATCGACGGAATAATACTTCTTTAAGTCATATACGCTTTTTGGGATTCCTGGGCAAACACAACTTTCTAGCCGTAATCGTCGGTTAATAAATAGTCAGTGCACTAACAATGTAACCTGCGGGCTCTCGGTCATAGTCAGGGCAAGCAAGTGTCCCATTTCAAATATTTCAATGGGTATTAGAAATAACTTAGCAACGAATAAAGTTATAATATTAAAAATTTAATATTTGTAAAGAGCTCGATTTCGCCGATTAATGCATTCAGTTTTTGTTAATATAGCTCTTTTTATTATCAAGTCATTTAAGTTGCAAATCGTAAAAAAAAAAAGTTTTTAGTTCTTTATCGAAAAGAATCGAAAACCGCGATTTGTATTAAGAATATATTAATAACGAAAAAAGCTATAACAATAAAAATTAATATAAGAATCGAGATAAGTGGATTATATTTCATACATAAGAAATATTATATATTTTTATTATTAAAATAAGTAAGATAATACTTATTACGCAAAAATTACAATTGTAAAAGCGAAAAAAGCTCGGCCAATTTAACGAAAATTTAAGAACATCAACTTTTCGATCATATTTATAACTTAAATGAAATAATAATTATAAAAGCTATAATAATAAAAACAAATTGCACGAGTCCGCTTTGTGACGACCTTAAGCGATTACCTGAAAGGACTCACGGGAGCGCGGGGGTTCATATGGGAGCTCAAGAGGATCTCAATCAAAGTAATGACTTAGAATCAACAACTACCGAGTATAAAGGTCGAAGGTAGCTGAGGTTTATATACACGAAGGTAGAAGCGCCAAAGACTCGTGAACCATAGTTCATGGGTCAAAAGAAGGGAATGAGAGAATACGAAGGAGAAGATGCAAGGTAAAAGGAAAAAAGGAAGGAGGTAGCTTGGCGCATATGGGGATACGCCCAGGAGACCTGGCGTGTCGTCATACGCTTGACTAAGAGTTTTTTAAATATCAAATTTTTATATTAAATTTTAATATAAGATACTATTAATATTAGAAAATATAAGATTTTGAATACAAAATATTTGATTTTCAATTAATCGTCGGTTACCTTGAATTTAATTTGTAAAAAATCCCGACCTGGCGCAGTCAGGTCCGCACCATCAAGGCGGGACAGTAACGGTATACTACTTATTAAATAACAACTATTAATATAGATAAGAAAAGAAAGGCTTTCATGTGCTTAGAAATCTCGCTTTACAAACGTGAATTGAAAATATCAAGATGCACTTATTTGTGATGATTTAATACATTAAAATGTAATAGAAATATAGCTAAAAACTGTCCCAGATAATTTAAATCTATTTATTTGCTGCGAATATCTTAATAATTATAACCTTAATTAAAACAAGCGTCGCATAAATCAAAAATAAATGATTTACTTTATTATATTACCAAAAGTATTAATTGTTATATAAAAGTTAGTAGTGGTGCACGTATTCTTTTAATAGGTTTGAATAAAAGTCCGATTTTCGTGTTCCTCGCTTATTCCAGTATTTACGCGGCAATTCTGATATAAACTTAATAGTGGGCTTCCCGGCCCCAAAAGTTGCGACGTCAAGGCCCACTATTAAGGAAACCAACGATTAAAGAGACCTGGGGGGCTACGATTCTTTATTTGTACGAGGTGCTTCTTACGAATCTTAGCTTTTCTTTTTTTATTTCTTTTTTTTGGGGGGGGGGGGGGGGGGGGGGGTCCGTAAAAAGAGTTTGGAAAGCCGAAATTGAATCAAGATAGCTTTTCGAAGAGATTTTCTTTTATCGGTGATCCGAACGAGCCTCTTCTTTTTACCTCGATTACTACGCCGATTACGATCTGTACTTGACGGGCATACCGATTGAAAATAACAAAAAGATTTGCTACAAAAGATGAACGAAGTAAAAAATATAAAAGAAGGTTTAAGACGATTCACGATATTGAACTTTTAAGAAGGCCACTTAATTGACTCCGGTTCGGCTTGGATTGTTTCAAAAATTGTCGTGCGGGAATATAAGGTTATAAGACTGGTTACTGCAATGTGCATTGCAGGTCTGCTTTTGCATATCAAAAATCGATATCGATATATACGATATCTACCGGTATTCTACTACTGCCCCCCCCCCCCCCCCCTTCCCCCTTTGAATAAATGTCGAAAGTATAATTTCGCAAGGGATCTTACCAGGGCTTAAACCAATCAACTTACTACGTCGCAGGCGTAAGTATTACCCTT